GTCTGGGGGCTGTGGAAGTGGGAATGGGGGTCTGAGGTTGATGGTTGGGAAGGGGCTGCTTGTGGGGCTGGGTCTGAGGGTCTCATTCGCAGGGGGAAGGGACTGTGGAGCTCAGGGGTGGGGGGACTGGAGACAGACATGTACTGTGGGGGCTGGGGGTCTCCAGCAGGGGTGTGGGGGTCTGCAGGGCTGTGTAACCTCACAGCTTGGGGGTCCGGGTCAGCCCCTCACACCCTCGGTGTCCCCCCACATGCCCAGGCCAGCACCATGGCACAGGTGGGGCACAGGGTGGATTACCTGGCCGGATTCTGCTGCCCGGTGGGGGGGCTGGTGGCGGGCAAGCCGCGGGTGCTGTGCCATGAGAACGAGATCTACCTCTCCAACGGCACCGAGTTCGTCTATGTGTACGACCAGGAGGGCAAAGTGCTCAAGGTGAGGGGCTTGGCGGGGTGGGGGGTCACCCCATGTCCCCCATCCTGTGGGGACAGTGTCCCGTGACACAGTGGGAACACCCCAGAGTCGTGTCCCCACTCCCTAGCCCTGGATTCCCTCTGGCAGGATCCAGCAAACAAACCCTACAAGCAGCACCCTTCGCTTTGGGGTTTGGGGGTGCTGCCAGCTGGCCCCCTCCCAATGCTGTGGGACACCCATTGGATCAGACTCCACAGGCTCGTTCCCCCAGCACAGGGGCTTCTCTCCCCTCTCCCCCCAGGCCTGGTGGCTGTCCCCGCTGTCACAGCACCCTGACTGACATGCTGCTGCCTTTGTTAATTTGTTCTGATTATCATTTCCAAGAAATCCACCACTGTAAGAGCGGGCTCTGCCTCCCACACTGCGCTCCCGCTCAGCAAAGTAGAGCACGTACCCTGCTCCCTGTTTTCCTTCCCCTCAGGGAGCGGGAATGACAGGCTGCCTCAGCCCCTCTGCCACCCCCCTGCCCAGGAACACCCAGCTGGGTGCTGCCCAGGGATTCCTTTGTCCCTGGAAATCGCTTTGGATTCCCCTCTGCAGGGAGCCGCCTTGTCCCTGCCGCCCCCGCGGCTACCGTGGGAGGTGACATTTGGTTGTGTCCCCGCTGTGTTCCAGGCTGTGTTCCGCTGCCCTGACCAGGTGTGGCACGTGGAGCTGCTGCCCCAGCCCCGGCAGCTCTACATCCTGTGTGCCCACAGCGGGATCTACTGCGTGTCCCTGGAGCAGCAGAGCAGGTGAGCCCAGGGTGAGCCCCTGTCCTGGGGCTGCCGTGGGAAGCGTGAGGCTCTGCATCCATCTCTGCCGGTGCTAAAAGCTCTCCTGCAGGAGTTCCTTTCCCAGGGCCAGGCAAAGAGGCGGCCAAGAGCCACGCTGGCTTCTCCCCACCGCTTGGCTCAGAGCTCTTCCCTGTTTTCCCGAAGGTTAATGGAGCAGACGGACGGCGACGGCCAAGAAAGCAACGGCCCTTCCGGCGTCTTCCCGGTGGAAGCGGACGCCTGCATCTTCCCCGACGCCAGCCTGAGCATGTTCACCCTGCTCAGCACCTTCGTCATCACGCTGGCCCAGGACGAGGGCAAGTGGTGGATGCGGCTGCACGAGCTGCCAGGCCCGGAGCAGGACGGGCCCCCGTACCGGCAGGTCAGCCAGGTGGAATTCTGCCCCGGGAGCCCGCCCGGGGACGGGGGGGACGCGCCGCCCTCCTGCTTCCTGCCCGTGCTGTGCTGCGCGGCCGCGCCCGGCACCCAGGGGCTCTGGTGCTCGGGGGGCTTCGTGCTGGAGGAGCCGCTCTTCAGCCTCCTCTTCGGCATCGACGTGGCCATG